ATGTCTAACTGATAACTAGGAGAAGGAATTGTCACACGATAGTACACTTGTTTTAGTTGGGTTTTTTAATGTGATTTGTGTTGCATATCTGCTATGTCATGCATTTAGTCCTTCGTGAAGAAATAATAGTAATAATACTAGTATTAATACTATTAGCAGGGTGCGGAATTAACGGTTTCAGGTAGTCACACGGACTCCTGCCCATGTCAAATCAGGGAATCCCACAGAAAATCGGGGAGTATTTGACTCTGGACTCGCATTAATTTCGCACCCTGTATATAATATATATATATATCAGGCGTAAATCATCACAAGTTTTGTCTGTCATAGGCGAGATGATTGATGATTTTCACTGACGTTATCTATCAAATAATCAATTATAATGTGTAAATAAAGCTTAAACTATTACCATACTACATGCTTGGGAGAAGTTACAAGTTCAGTTTGTACTTGCTACCGTTTATAATGTGGAGAAGATATATACTCAAGAACCAATAGGTTGAATGAGGTTATTCAAAAATAAATTATTGTGATATAAGTGTTGAGGTAAGAGAAAGATAAAGGGTCACCGACTATGGATTGTGTGTGCAAGACATAATATGACACAAAAATAGTCTATAACATGGAAGCAATAACTTGTCTTATATATGATTGCATTGTGTTTATTATGTTACAGAGGGCACTAAGTCTGTTCTTCCAAGAAGCTGCAATTAATCAGGGATATCATAATCATCACCATCAGGTAAAGTATGGAGACTTTATGTAGAGTTACTGTTGAATATTGATCACGTGAATGTGTGGGTTTTTAAAAAGCAAGGATTTCATACATGTTTTTTACCTGTTTGTTTACATGGTGATGACACGGTTACTTGATGATGCCACTTGTTTCTTGCAAGACCCTGTTCCTGTACATTGACATGGTAACTTGAATTAAGCAATTGTGAGATACTGTTTCAGTCTAGAACCACTATGTTACTCAATGAGATGCACTTTTGTCTTGTTGTTGCCGATTTCAAGCGAATTGTCGCTGTACAAAAGAATTTGTTATTAGCTCAGCTGACGAAGTCGGATGCAGCTTGTAGAATCGCATGAATGTCCGTTCGTCCGGCCGGCCGTCCGTCCGTCCGTGTGTCAACAGTTACGCCACAAATCTTAACCGCTCGACGTACGGTCTTGATATTCGGGACTTCAAGGGGATCGCGAAAAGGACTCAGGATGTCGAATTTGGGGGTCAAGGGTCAAAGGTCAAGATGTGTCAATGGAGCAGGAATATTTTCCCCTTAACTTAAGGTATAGGAGAAAATACGGAATTGCGGCACAAATCTCAACGGCTCGACCTACGCTCGTAATATTCGATGTATAGTGTGATGGGGAGGAAACCCATCACCAGTGCGAAATTGGAGGTCACAGGTCAAAGAGCAGTGGGGTAAAAATCTGATATCAGACATTTTCTGAGGACATGGTTTAACGGACTAAGTGCAAAGCTTTTTTGTATCAGCGCTGACCTACCATTTTTATCACTTAATTGAAAGGACCATGAAATGTACTTTCCGCTGACGTGCGAAGAGTAATTATAAGTGTCTGATAACCTTTTGACCCTCAAGAGAAGGGTTAAACATAAATTTGTTGACTGTTAACAAAGGACTGAACTGCTTTTGCCATTAGACCCCCCCCCCTTTTTTAGATCTGTATTATATATCTGTATTAGTAGTATCCTAGCTATATGCTCTGAGCGCGAACGCGGTGGCGGGAGGGCGCACTTGATTCGGTTGCCAGTGAGTTTATCAGAAGAATACCCGGCTACAGTACACGTCAGTTGAGCGCTGTCGCTCTGCGGCACTTGTTATATATACCATAACAGCATAGATTCATGGTAATTTTTATGCTGGAATAATCAGTAACATGTTTGCTATTAGGTGAGACTATATTCCGCTATATTTTTCTCGATTGTGCAGTTATTTATGATATAATGCCTTTACTGTAAATACATTACCTGTGTGTACCACCCATGTTTCCTCGCATTGATTCGCTTAGGTTTTTTCGATACTCGGCATCTCGAAAGTCGATGTGAAACTTGGAAGGGGGTTTCATGATAAAATATCGGAAAATACGTGGCGTCTGTAAAACACTGTCCTTTACGAAATCACTCTTCACGTGTTGGCCTGTTTTGTGGGCATGTTCGTGTTTCTTCGTGATCTCTCACGCGCTAGCCCCAGGGCAAACGCGCCCGCTTATGTTTGTATAAAAAACTGGTTCCCAGTCATCGCACACATAAGGATGGTCCTTGGGTCAAACAGTGCGTGCCCGACTTCAGTACAGTAACTAGACTTGTCGACCTTGGCTGTGGAGTGAGCCCATGTCACTCTTGTGTACGTACGTGTGCATGTAGGTGAAGGTGCGCGCGCGTGCTTTGTGCCGGCGTGCGTGCGTGCCGGCGTGCGTGCGTGCGTGCCGGCGTGCGTGCGTTGTGTTGGCACACATGAGTTAGCGCTTAAGCCCGGGTCACAGCAGATCGTACGAAATTTTGTCGTGGTATACCCATAAAATATTTGTCGTGGCCAGATCTTGCAACATACCTGAAATGTATTTCGAGTGTTCACAATGGCTACGACAGATTAAAGATGGTTTGGCGATGGGGACGCGACAGAAACAAAAGATATGTCGTGGTTATGTCGTGGGTGTGTCGCAAGTCAGTCGTGCGACAGTCGTGAGTTGTCGGACATTGTCGGGGAGCTGTTTTTCACGTGAACAGGTCGTGGTTCACTCGTGGGATACGCGTGCTACAGTCGTGCGACTGTCGCACAACAGTCGTGAGTCACTCGGGTCACTCGTGGGACGCTCGCGCGTCCGTCTCCCGACTATATAACGACGTATTAATTATCGCACGACAATCGCAAGACTGTCGTAGGACAGATTCACAACAACCAGAAGACATAGATACCACAAAAATCGTGGAACAAAAAAGGTGCATGTTCAATTTTGCCCCACGACGGCAGGTCGATGCCACGATGCTCAAAATTTTGTAGGACTGTCTTGCGACGACCCCCGATGACCCACGATTTGCCCAAATTTTCTGTCGTGTCGTGGCACAAATGCGTCGTGGGCTCGTTGTGATCAAGGCGATCGTTGTGATCGAGGTGATCGACCTCTCAGGCGACGCTTCTCTGGTATCCGGTCTCTCATCTGGATATTCGGGACGTCGGGCGGGATCGCGAAAAAGACTCGGGATGTCGAATTTGGGGGTCAAGGGTCAAAGGTCAAGGTGTGTCAATGGAGGGGGAATATTTCCCCTTAACTTAAGGTATAGGAGGAAATACGGAATTGCCCACAAATCTCAACTGCTTGACCTACGCTCTTAATATTTGATGTATAGTGTGATGGGGAGGAAACCAATCACTAGCGCGAAATTGGAGGTCACAGGTCAAGGTCAGTGGGGAAATGTCAGATATCAGACATTTTCTGAGGACATGGTCTAACGGACCGAGTGCAAAACCTTTTTGTTTCAGCACTGACCTACCATTTTTATCACTTTATTGAAAGGACCGTGAGATGTGCTTTCCGCTGACGTGCGAAGAGTAAGTGTCTGATAACCTTTTGACCCTCAAGAGGAGGGGTAAACACGGATTTGTTGACTGTTAACAAAGGACTGAACTGCTTTTGCTATTAGACCCCCCCCCCTCCCTTTAGGCTCTAGCATATTCTACGTTTTATTTTATAGTTTACAATTTTTTCTATCATCACTTAGTGTAATTATTAAGAATCACTAATGGCTGGACATTTCTGGACGTTATTGTGCACATCGAATATAAGTTGCGCATGTCCCTGTGTAAATCAATCGTGGTAGATTTGTGCACACATGTCGAAGTCTTACTGTTTTACTAGTTACCTCCGCCCAACGGAGTTGGAGGAGGTTATGTGATCGGTCTCGACGTGATGCGGCCATGATGCCGAGGCTCGCCGAGGATTGACACTTTGTGTCTTCCAATCACACTCTACGCCGTACTTACAAAATAATGTATTTGCATAATTTCACTCTTAATTGCTTCTATAGTATGATTTCCACAATTTTGCTTTTTTGCCCATAATAATTATTTCCCTTAACCTACATTTTTCAGTTCGGACTCGCTATCATAGCGTTATAACCTCCTATATCATTAATTAAATCCCCTAGGTATGAATATTTGGTGCATTTTTTGATTACTTGGTTGCCTATTAATCCCCTCGATCCTTTCTTTGTTTGGGAATTTTATATAACTATTATATTTGTTTTGTTCATATATTAAATTCTAATCTTTTTGATTCAGCTAATGTGGGGCTAAACCGACCNTCAATTGATATCTGCGGCGCGCATTGCCGATTAAACGCACGCCAGTCAGCATCATATGTCGCTCTATTTGATCAACGCGCGCGCACTAGCAGATAGCTATAGAACATCTAGAAAATATACTGCCCATTCTCGATCATCGCAAAATGTAGATAAGACGGTTAGCCGAAATCGTGTTTCAACATTGACTAACTCTCAAAACCGCCAACGATACGACAACAATACTATGTCACGAATTTAAGACGACATTGGCGACTGGGACGTTCAGCGACGGGAAGTAAATAATTATTGCTCCCCCAGTAAAACTGGTGCGAATGTTTCACCGGCGACTCGCGGTTGCAGGTGTCCGCCAATAGGTACGGTTGAGGCAGTCACTCGGGAGCATGCTGGGCATGAAACCGATGAACATTGCTAGCGATTACGAGCTCATGCGCGCAGCTCATGTTCAGTGCAGGTGCCGGTACATATACGTATCTATCATATACTTATGTTGTACCTAATCATATACCTAATGTTTTACCTAATCATATACCTAATGTTGTACGTACGTAATCATATACCTAATGTTGTACGTAATCATATACCTAATGTTGTACGTAATCATATACCTAATGTTGTACGTAATCAGTTAGCTGGGGTGGCAACCATGTCACGTGGTACAGGTGTGACAGGTGGGACTGGTGCGTGAATGTGAACGTGTGCATGAGAAAATACCAAAGGTGATGAAAGTGAAATGTGCCAGCAGCGAGTGCTATGCGTGTCATTATAGAAGCGGCATACTCAGCATTGATGTTGAATGCGTTGTTTTGTTAACATTCGACATCGCCACGGTTGTTGTTTCAAAATAGCTCCATAACACCTGCTATGCTATATGCTATGGTAAGCTTTATTTACAGTTATTACAATTAGGAGCTAAATGTGTGCGTGCGCGCACTTGTGTGTGCGCGTGTGTGCGTGCGTGCGTGCGTGTGCGTTCGAGCGTCTGAGCGGGTGGCTGGTCGTCTGCGCGATCGCACACACTTGCGCACAGGCGGGCGGACAATTGTGTGTTTTGTAATTACTATATATATTACGGTTTTCTAGTGCCTAGATTTATATCTCTGCAGCGTAGGCCTACTATAAATTGCAACTTACTTAATCTTCCCTAACCTAGACTGGAAACTACCCTGAGCACTTACCTGTAATTACATTACCATAAACACAAAATCGTCATCATTGAAAGCTTTAATTGTGAAATTCAGTTATAGTTGTTAATAATAAGAAATGTATCGTTAAATGTCACATGCGTTGTTAGCGGTTAAACATTCCCATGGCAAAATGGAATTAAGTAAGATAATTATACGTACGAACATCGTACGGTGCATATGAATCTAAGAATGTGTATAAGCGTATATAGCGGACATTGGCGTATTTGATGTCAAGTCATGTGCAAAACACACGTCATATGCCAGTTAGTACAATCGATCGAATTTATGCATTGTATGAGCACGTATATGTGCTCAGTGCATGGTTATTATAAATGTCCAGCTGTTGGAGGCAGAGGAATAGTAATGGATGTGTAGAGAGTGAGCAGCGGGGATTCATAATTTCCACAGTGAACAAATTAAAACAATAGTACATTTTCTATCATTGCATAAGTTATTTACCTAGAACAAAAGTGTTAGTCAACGACTGGTGTGAATTACATTATTGTGCTAAATTCGGCTTCAAAGAAGCGAATGTAACGTAGATATATGCTTTGCCGATGACATTGAAAACGTTTTTTGCGTAAATGAGTTTGAGTATAGCGTTTGATTTACAGAAACTTATTAAATTACCCCAGATTACATATTATGCAGAGCTAGCCCCTCAATTGATCGGATAGTTTTCGGCCACCTGAAATACTCGGTATACCTGCGTCATAAATCTATGTTAGTAATTTATGCAGCTGGAAGTCTCCTTGAAATGAACCCTAACTCAGTGATCAATAGTAATTCTCTGTTATGTGTTATATTTGACTCACACAAAAGTGTATAATATCGATGGAAGTTTACGAGTATTTTAATGAGATAGCACTTATGTGAATATGTACAATCAATTTAGTTCTATCCCCGTCACCATTCCCGTCCTATATACCGCTCTGTACCTATTCATCCTGCTCTCTTCTTCTACTTCTTCGTCTTCTCTCTCTTTCTTTCTTTCTCTTGCGCGCGCGCTCTCTCTTTCTCTATTTATTTCTATCTAATCTACCTATCCTTTCCTCTTCTTTTTATTCGCTGTCTTTGCCCCTTCTCTCTCCCATCTCCCTCTCTATCTATCTATCTCGCTCCCTTCTCTCCAGTTTTTGTGACACTACCTGTTTTGCTTTCTGTGTACCTGTGCGTGGATGCGTGAACTGTCTATCACACACCTTCTGCGCCCCGTTCCCTACATGTCAATATTATCTTTAGCACCCCTTTCACTCTGGGTGAAAATGAGGTCATCGCTAATTATTTCCCGTAAAGCAAATAGTCACGCGAGTATTGCAATGCCAATATATTCCACCATAACATTCTACTGTTCATGCTACGGCTACAATTATTATAATAAACGTTTGTCTCACTATATGCAATTGGAATGGAGAAAGGAAAAAGGGGGAAAAAGGTTACATAAAATGACTCATTCAACTAGTGTATAGCTAGCTATGTATTCGCTCCATAACTTAGCGTAAAAAGAAAGTTCTGACCCCTCTCAGCTCTATATAAATTATGATAATTTTATGGGAAACTAATATTAGCGTTCCTACGCGACCTTGTAACTGTCATCTAGTTTACAAGTATGACACATGCTTGTAATTTAGCGTCCACATACAATGCGCGACACAAATCTGAGGTAAATTAGTTTAATATTGTCATATAAACGATTCATGCAGATCTAAATATATTTGACATCATAACAAAATGTTATATCGCAGTTATTTTACTGACACAACTATAAACTCATAGACAAGAGAACGAGACAAGCTAGCATGCTAAGATATACGTATTGTCAAATAATATAATATAATATAATATAATATTTTATATATTATGTATCTAATATATATATATATACATACATATATATATATATATATATATATATATATATATATATAATAGTTGAGATGAAAATTCCCACTAGTATGATTTAGGATTTCAGAAGCACAGGGCACGCTTGTATCTAGTTTTGGGCACCACAGTGTCATCTCTCCTTGTAGTGGTATAATTGCAAGACCGTATGTTAACGGACACCTGCTGACTATTGTCGTAGGTTGTAACTAGGACGCCTTTGGGTACGTCAGTACCCGAGCCCGGTATGATCTCATGCCGGTGTACGGGCTCGTGCGTGGACCCGCTATTCTCGTGCCCGAAGCGTAATAATTCCAGGCATTGCGCTGTTCGCTTGATGTGACGTTTCAGACCAGAAAAATAAAGCGTCTGGGTGGGGGATACGTTGGCGTTCTACTCCAGCTTCAAACACAGAGTGCCCCTTTTTAACTTTCGATGGATATCTGTACGTATAAACCAGTTTCGGAAAACAAGAAGCGATCATTTTTAAGCTCAGGTAGGGGCCTACTCTATACCGCATATAGAACTCATCATTTTCCAGCTTTTATGGACTCCCGCGTATATTGGATGACGGACCTGAGCGTATGCCAAAGTAACCAACTATGGGATTTAGGTAAATTACTATGACCATTCACTTGCAATGTGTTAGCATGGTTAGTTCGGATAAATTCCTTATATCGGTCAAACCCTAACCTACCCGAAATAAGTGGTGAATGTTGTATTCATTGCATGGAGATAAAAATTGCGTCCTGAAAACATGCATTCGTTTGTGTCCGTCGTCAGGGTGTGTGCGTGCGCGCGCGTGTGCGTGTGTTTGTACGTCAGAGTGTATGTGCGCCCGTGCTTTTGCTGTGGTGATTATTTCTATACATGTGTTGCATAACTTTATTAGTGGAATAATTTCATGGTCTAGGTTTTTTCATGAATACCCGCTACGTACCATCTGTCTTTTAACCTGAAGTAGCTATATAAGAATACGACGATCGAGACACTTGCTCGTGAGCAACAGCTTCTAGTTTCGCCAGGTTGGACACATCTGTTGCCTAATTGCCATTATGACGGGGTAGCGTCGTATAAGCATATTAGACACGCGTCATCATTAAGTGGCACCCGCTTGCTTGTCTAGCCGAGCGTAGCTTGCATAGAACGCAGGTGTCTCGATCTGTGCGACACAGCACAGGTGCGTGATGAGTAGTGTGATCTGTCCTAATTGGTATGTTGGTTGTTGAAATAAGTATAAAACATCTCGCGTGTACCACAGTAAATCGGTTAGCGTTAAAGCGCGCCGTACACGAAAAACGTGCGGTTAATATGTGACACACACACACGCATGTAGTTTTGTGTTCAATATACTCGAAGATAAATTGTTATTAATACGATATTTTCTCGTTAGGGATTTCGCGTGAAAAAGACTACTGCCTAACGTCAAACAACGTCAAGTGCTGCTCCGGCCGCAGTGACTCGCAAAAACATTGCGAAATGGAGCTAATGGATTTAAGCCATTTCTACTAACGACAACGAAACCTCAGCTTTGCACACACGAGAAGTCTTCAGGGAAAGACTGCGCCAGATCATCGGCGCCTTTGAGTCACAACCACCAGAAGGAAATCAAGGCATCCTGAGATATTTACTACGGTTATTATTCGTCTTATTCGTTTCCAGTTTTCTACAAACGGCAATGTCCGCACCGACAAGAGGTAAGCACGTCAATTCACGTATTATAGCTACTAATTTTTCATATTAAATCAATTGCTATTAGGCAATTGTTTGAATAATCGTTTAATCAAAACACAATTTAATATGTTGCATTGTGTGATGAGCTTTATAGCATGTCGCAATGTATTTAGAGAAATTCATTCATATATATGGCAATATTGGAAGGTGAACATAAATGAAAAACGCAGATCTTATACTGCCGAGAGAATGACCTTGTCACATCTTACGTTAATGAGATTATAGGTGTTTAATTAAATGCTCGTAATGCTATTGTAATATGACGTCACTTACATATAGTAGCCTGGTTGGCGTATAGGAATGATAGTTGTTTTGTCAGTAGGGTTTAATTACGCTCACAAGCTGTAGCATCAATTGGTTTTTAACAAGAATACTTTAGTAAACGGTAGCTTTATTGGCGTTGTTGGTACGGCAGAACCGGTTTAATGGCGAGAGTAAGACTAAGCAAGCAAGTATCATAACCAAGCAAGGGTGACTTCAGAAGCATTTAACTTCAGCAAACGCAGATAATAATAATCACGCGAATTCACACATGAACTGACTATGCATGGCAAAGTGAATCTTCCAACCTAACAATGCATGGTCGCGTGCATTCGGGGCATGCGATTAGAACGAGCAGAACTCTCAGAAGAGATGGAGTACATCGTGATCTAATATATTATGCAATTACCATGTGGCGCATGGTGTTAAAGTACGAAAGGTGGTAAAAACTATAATAAGACTATATACACGTTACGTTATGGATGCGGTTGCTACAACTGCGCACCAATCACTATGTGTGAGGTGAATCAGACTCTGTGAAAACGGGGCGTATGTTGAATATACATGAAGCTAATCGGCGGTACCAGCCCGAGCAAAGTACTGACGCCGCGGG